GCTTCCAGAATGGTCTGTTGGCATATAGGAATCGGGCCGTTGTATACAGCTCCCCGTTTGCACGTGCTGTTTGTTTTTCCTGTGGGATGCGTCTAGTATTCCTGCTAGCTTGAGTAGTGCAACGTCCTAGGGCTCTTGTACCTGCGTTACTCTGCTCATAAAAAAGTAAATTCAAAGTAATGAGTGGATTATTGTAGGGCAATCTCTATCCTTTAGCCCAGGTCCTGTGTAGAAGGACTGACAATGGAGACTCTGTTTCTTTTGGTATTTAGTGTTCCGATTACTTGGTGGCTACTGCTTTCTTCCCTTTTTTTTTTTTTTTTTCTTTTTCCCCCCCCCCCCCAATGTAACAAAGCCCATGTGAACTTTGTGGAGAATTTGTCTCTTCTAACTTGACACATGGAAAATCTACAGCTAGCCCTCAAGTTTAGAGGCGGCAGCAGTGAATGTCAAGAACCTCTATTAGGTGGCAATCTCTGATTTGGAAGTCTGGTCTTGGATGTATTAAATCAGGTCAGTTGTGGGACTTGTCTTTGGTGGTGGTGATGCCCCATGACGGCTGGTCCTTTCCCAGCAAGATGAGTCCTGTTCGGAGGTGCATGGCAAGAGCCAGCTAACTGACACTCCTGTGCCAGAAGGGAGACTCGTCCTTCCGACGGGTGCTGCTGCACCGAGCAGCCCTGGCATAAACCAGCCTGTACCTGATGGTGTCCAGCAAGGCCCGGAGAAACTCGGGCCCCCTGCTCAGGCCACTGCCCTCAACGGTCAAGATGGGTTTCTACCAGACAAGTGGATCAAGGCACGCAGCGGGTGATCCTCTCGCCAGCTCTGTGGCCTTCCCCCACCTTTCCCGGTGCAGCCTTCGCACTTGCCGCGCTCCTCGGGAGCCGCGTCAGGAGGAGAGGCGGTGGCAGCGCTGACTTCGCCTGGCTCAGAACTCCTCCGCGCCCATGTCCACTTGCCATGAACTGGACTTTTGGCCGGCAAGTAACACAGTGATGGCTGCTCAGCAGCACACCTTCTGCAAGACGAATAGACGGTATGTCTTATCCTGCCGTGCCTGAAGGTAGGTGGTGCAGCTTCTGAGGAGACGCAGGTTTTAAACCCCAGAAGGCTGCGCTGCCAAGTGCTGTCGGCCTAACGGGGTGCAGCTTTACTGCTGTGCAGAGAGAATGGTGCGGCTGCCTCAGCAGCTGGGGAGGATCTAATGAGTGAATCCTGGCAGAACACAGCTCGGGGGGCTTATAACCACAAGAGACAACCTCATACTTGACAGCTTTTCTTTGCCAGGTTACCCGGTGTCCTTGCTGCTCCCCGTGGCTTCTCCAAGGGCTGCAGGCACCAAGGTCCGGGCTGCAGACGCTGCTCGGGGAGCTGGCTGCACAGGACAAGCACCATGCTTCGCGCCGCCGTGCTTTGTTAAGCTAGCCTAAAGCCACAGCGGCACCTTTAATCACTGCTGGTCTGCTCGGACTCCTCCTGCCCTTCCGCTCCCTCTGTCCCCATCTCAGTGCGGCCCTTCTGCTACAGCATTAGCAATAACGAGGTTTGGTGCTAATTCCAACACCCTGTGCTCCCTAGCCCGTGCCCCATCTGCTGCAGAGCAGAGCAAAGCAATCTCTGAAGGAACTGTCCAGGTCTGTGTGAACTGGAAGGAGCAGAGATAGGCATGAGAGGTGAATAGAGACTAATATTAAATTTAATGAGACCTAGACTCTGGAAATGAACCTAAAGAAAAAATAAGGTAATGCAGTGTAGGAGAGCTTTCTGTCTCACAACTGAAGGTGGATTTCTTTACTCTTTTCTTTCTGGATATGTAGCTTTCAGCTACCAGACAAAAATAAACTTAAACCAGTACAGTAACAACTCCTTGTTCCTCCCTTGCCCACACTGTTTTCCTTGAAGCATCTTTCCAGAATGATACTGACATTAGTGTGTGTTTGGTTTTTTTTAACGTCTAAATCCAGATGTCAGCTTGTCTGTCAATAAATTACAAAGAGTAGATTTTTTTTTTCAGGTTGCATAAATTATGCAGGTATGTAGATTCTATAACATGTTTACTTAATCAGTGGTTGCTGAAATTCTTACAGGTTGTTTTAAGAGGCCACTGGGTTACTCTTACTGATCGTAAATAATTTTGTTTTCTTAAACTGGGTTTGATTTCTGGATCTGTAGAGCTGAATCAGTAGCAGAGAACCTGAAACCCGAGTTTATGGCGGGTTGTTCTGTAGATTGATTGCACGAGGTGCGCTTGGGTGGAGGGAGAGCGTGGGTCGCCATACCTACTGTGTGTCGGGGCAGTGCCGCAATGGCAGCGGCCACCTCTAGAACGAATAGCGTCGTCCTTTTGGATGCTGTTCCCATTTCCCTAGTGACTCTGCTGTGACTGGGTACACGAGGAGCCCTGTATTAGTCTGAAGTTATGATCAGTGTCTTTAGTCTTTACAGAGGTTGGAAATCCATTCTCCTCTCCACTGGTTAGAGAGCTTTTCAGCTGATGCTGTAACCCGAGGAACCTTGTATTTTGGTTTGAGGCTAGATAATGTTACCAGGCTCTACTGGAAGCTTTTTCTCCCCTCTCCTGTTTGTGTGGGTTTGTGTGTTTTGTGTGTTTTTTTTTTTTCTTCTCCTTTTTCTGCGTGGCTCACTTGGGGACTATTTGGGAAAAGATTTGTAATCTTAGCCTTCATCAGACCACACAAGTCAAGAGGCTGATCCCCTCTTGAGCTTGTCAGCAGCCAGCTCATTCAGGACAGGCCGTGAGCTGTGGTGAGAGTGGGGGAGGCAGGTTTTTAGCCCACACTTGTAGATCGGTGTCACGGGGGGCCAGCAACACCAGGCTGTTTGGCAGCAAGGGCTCATTATGTGCCTGTCCCCTGTGGTCCCACAGCAAGGGCTCGAGGCTTCTGTTCGCCGGGAATGGATGTGGGGAGGGGAGCGCTTGGCCTCCTTCGGCTCTGAATGCTTTCATTGAGACCTTGGTGAGAACGCTTTCCAACTGAGCCCTGCCGCCGCCTCCGCTGTTTGAGTTGCTGGGGATTTTGTGAGGGTGAGGAGGATGGGACGCAGGCTGCGAGGCTGTGGCAGCCTGGGCTCGCACAGTGGGAGTGCTTTCAAACAAACCCAGTGGTCCTGAACTGAAGCAATGCCTACTTTTTGAGTTTGGGATGTTCTTTTTTAATAGACGATGACAACAAAAGAGGTTATTAGCTGTACTCCAAAGCTCCCCTAATGACGCAAATCTGACTGTAAAGCTATGTATTGAAACAGGGCATTTACTGGCCTGGAGAAGTGCAGTGGTAGATGTTAAGACCATGTTGCTCGCTCCTGACTGTAAGCGTTCAGAAGCAGCGGTGTTCCCAGGGGACTGACCCAGGCCCACAGAACTGTATTGTGATCTACACCGACTTCACTTGGCTTCAGGTCCATGGAGGTTTCTGCTATACCCACGTCACCTGGAGCCTGGCTGCCAAGTGACCCATCAGCCCAAGCCAGTACCTTCCCTCGGAGAGGCCTTGCATCACGCAGCAGTGTCGGCCCGGGTCAGTGCTGGTGTGGCGGGTACCGAGGAGCAGCCAAAAGCAGGTCCTTGGCATCTGCAAAAGCCACAGCGAGCGGGGTCAGAGCTCTCTTCTTCTCACATGAAGCCACACTCAGCAGCCTGACAGCTTCCATCCTGACCACAGCTCCTTATCTTCCCCGTGCATTTTCCTGCACTCACCAGTCCCTCAAACCCAGTCTGTCACCTGCCCTTGGCCCAGGGTACCAAATCCTGTGCAATCCCTGCCTCGGCAGATGCAGAGTCTGCTGCACTGGAGCCGAAGCTTATGCTAAGTATACAGGTTAGTTTATGGTTTGTGTAGGAAGTCACACGCAGACACGGTTAATGAAACTGAGCAGGTAGGTTTGCAGCAGAGTTAAGAGAAAAAGGCTGTGTGTTACAGGTTTGTCCCAGCACACGTTCTACCGCTTGGGCTGTGTGGGCACCGCTGGAGTGCAGCTGCCCCAAGGCTGGAGAGCAGAGCTTTGCCTGGGAAAAGGTGTCCCATGCACTGCCGTTTATCCTCGTGGTGGACGCGACACAGTCCTGACGGTGTCGTGCTGTTCCCCCTGACAGCTGGCAGATTCTTGTTACTTTCATTAGGTTTTTCAGGATCTTGTTTTTTCTTCTTCCTCTCCTTTGCATACCCCAAGTATTTATACCGTGCTAACCAAACATAAGCTGATCTTGCAACTGGAGTGGGAACTTGCAAATGACTTTGCTCCTGAAATTATTCCCAGCTGAGAAGCTGCGGTGTGCTCCTGCTTCCTGCCCCGTACAGGAGGTACAACAAATGTTCTTTCATGGCTGCTCTGATGCCCTTAGAGGTCTTTGGCTGCATGGGGCTGGGGGCACTCAGCACCTCTAAGGTAAAGATTTGAACTTTTGTGGTGCATTTTTGTTTGTTTTCATATGTCTGTAATATTTTTGTACAAGCATAAAAATGGTATCAATATATCTGAATTATTGTACCTGAGAAAAGCGTAGAATATTGGGGCATCAGAAGTGATAAAATTCTAGGGAGAGAAGTGTATTTACATACACAAATTTCACTTCCAAAGAAAAGTCTTTGATATGTTACATCTCATTTTAGGGGTTCCAGGGATCACAAGCAATAATTACAAATGATTCCATGCGCACAAAAGAAATTAAACAAATCCATAATTAGACAATTTGATAATTACATCATTAAAAAGCTCTTAATATAACCGTGTTAATGGAAACGGCTCTAAATACAAAAGTGTATCTGGTTACCACCTGGTATTACATCAAAGCTGAGGAGCTTTCACAAGCAAACGTAACCTACCCTGGGATAATGTCAAACTGTTAGAATAAAATTTCGGAGGGTTGTGCTGGGATTTTTCTCTTCTCAGTTCACATTATGAATGAAAACAAAGCCAAGTGCTGATAAAAATAACAACTAATGTCATGCCCATCCCAAGTGGTAAGTAGGGTGTCGATGACGGTGGGAGTAGGGCAGAGTGCGAGGCGGGGTGTCAGAGGGGCAGGGCTGAAGGCGCTCTCCTGGCTTTGGGAGCTCTGCCCCGAGAGCGAACGCCTGGTGAGCCCACGGCGGGACCGCATGGGGCTGCGAGGGAGCCTGGGCGTTGTCTTGCCGGCAGGAAAGGAACAGGATGGTGGTGCTTTTCCCTCTTGGAGGAAAAAAAGGGGATTTCCAAGAGACCGAGTCACTGAAAAGTAGTCTGATTTTGGATGCGATGGGAGTTTGAAGAATTCTGAGGCGGGAGCAGGCAGAGCAGCCCTTTTGTGGGTGAATGGCTTGGAGCGAGGAGGAGGCGGTAAATGGTAACGGGCCAAATGTTACTGCAGTGAAAGGATTTAGCAGATGGAAGTGAGACTGTGAGAGCCTGTACGGCTAGACGGCAGGGGACATCAGCTGCCCGGGGAGCAAGTGGCTGTCGGGACCTGGTGCCTGGCTACGACTGAAGGCAGCAGCCTGCTGCAGGCCTGGTATGTGTCAAGGAAGATGTTTCAGATGGGTGCTGTCAAACCCCAGAGCTGCTTACAGGATGCTCTTGTACAACTTCTGTCCACTGAAAGCGCAAAGTCTTTTGGGAAAGCAGGGTGGCGTACAACACATTAATAGAGATGTTGTGATCTTCCTTCTAGGTCAGCAATTTCCTGCCTTTGCTGACCCCATCAGTAGACCTTCAAATTATTTGTATCAGAAATCAGTTGGACAAAAAAATAATCCTTTCATAGATCATTGCCTTGATTTGTCCTCTCCCCTTCCTTCGCCCCCCCTAATTTGCACCATCAGCTTCAGGTAGGTATCTCATCTTCTCCGTGTGCAACCTCAGGGGTTCACAGGGATCTGGGACTGTTCTCCACGGCCTTGACTAACCTGCCAGCTTTTGCGCTGCCCACTTGCTTGATCCTGGGGGCGTTAGGATGAAGGAAATGGCTCCTCAAGAAGACATGTAACAGCTCTGCAGATGTTGAGGTGTGTGTTCTTTAGTTCAGTCGGGATAAAAAGGTGGTGGAAATCCCCAGTCAATACTAGCGTGAGATGTGACTGCTGCTGAGTGGTAAGAGCCGGTTTGGATGCAGCTTGGAACACTCTGCGTGTGCAAAGACTGGAGAATCTGTGCAGAGGGGAGACTCACTCCTATTTCCAAATTACATGTTTTTAGCAATGTTGTCTGTCTAATGCAAAACGGAAACACAGAAAAGAGGCACATATGTTTCAGTTTTTCATGTGCCTCTGACTGTGAACGTGCATGGGAGAGACTTCATTCTTACTGTGAAGTGACTGTTGTCTTTGTCATATACTTTGCCGGTGGTTAAGAAGAAAATTAATTCTCTGTCTCCTAGATGGCACACAGATAAGCTCCATCTGGTTTGAATAAAGTGGGCAGGATTTTACTTCTACTTGCAGTTTTGCGAAGATTAAGATTACTTGGGTTGCCTGGTGTTTTCATATTCAAGGATATGAAAAAAAGTAAGCTTAAAGTGGGAATTTCAAGTGGCTTTGTTAAACTGCACTAAAACTCTTCAAGCTTTAACAGACCATAATTAGTGCTGTATTAAGGCGTGCAATGCTCTAATTCTAGTCAATCCATATCCTTGACCTTCCCAACTCCGCTGCAGTCAAGCTGGCAGAAAAGAAACTAGAGAAGAGACCCTGAATAAGTGTTGCTTGAGGAGAGCATACCCAAGCTGAACGAAAGGAAGCCTAGTTGAACCAGGTTGGAGCCTCAGTGTGAACTGGAGACATTGGTAAAATTGCTTCCAAAAGCTGACTGAATAAAACCAAAAAAAAACCCAAAAGGAAGATCAGATATGCAAAGGCAAAGCTCTTTACATATTGTAAAAGCCACCAATAACCTGTATCAATCTATTGATTTTGTTTTTTCTTTTTTTTTCCCCCTCCAAAACAGTGATCTTGCATGCACTTTAAAGATACTGCTGTTTCTTAGAGTGGAGAGAAAAGCATGGGTGAGCATGCAGAAATGGTTTAAAAAAACAGGATACAAAAGTAAGCTGAGTAGGACAGAAATTTTTTGATCCTCCGATGCATGTCAGTTATAGAAGTGCTGAAGCTGAACAGATTTGACAAAAAAAGTTATATACTGAATAACTCCTTTGAGAAGGCTAAGATGTGAAATAAAAACCAATAATTTTTCCAACTGTTCTTTGCCTAAAGTAAAAGGAATGCGATTCTCATGTTTGAAAATCAGTTACAAGAGGTTTCAGCTTGCTACAAACCCTTTTAAAAATCAGGAGAGCAGTTAAGTATGCAGGTGTCACACATACTGTCCTGACCTTCACATGTGTGATGTTTAGTCGCCATTCTTCAGGTAGGACAGCTGTTTGAGAAGTCACCGGTTACGGTGTCAGTAGTAGCGCAGTGCTGGCATTCGTCAAAGAACTGTAATGCTCTTCTCACAGGAAAAGCAAACTAAACTTTGCAAATGTGGAGGTGTCAGAACAGCACTTGCTACTGTAGCCTGGTTACTCAAAGAGGTTTAAGTGATCTATTGATTTGATGTTTATCAAAGTTTGGAATAATGGCATTGAAAGAATCAGAGAAAAAGTAGTGTCACTCCAGTATTTTAACGGGTCTGGCCCATGTAATCATAGTTCAGTCATGCTTCATGCTTATCCTGGATGGGTTTGAAAGGCTGGGTAACAGGATATCAACAGTAAAGAACCATGTCTTTGTGAATGGCGATTGGAAGGGTTTTATGAAAAAAAAGGTATCATCACATTTGCCACTATGGTGAGGAGTGAGACTAAACATTTGCTTGATAAAGCTAACAGCTCGTAAACTCTTGAAAGCGTTTAATCCTAACAGTAGTTAGGTCAAATTTGTAGCTGTCCCCCAGCCAAGTGAAGAGGCAGCAATAGCAATGGAGTTCTGTGGGGTGACTGGAAACTTGAGCAAAAACGCATCTGCGATTGTATCCAGGTTGCGTGCGTGACACACGCCTGCTTATAGCGATAATGCCGAAAAGTACCGGGGGTCACGGTGAACCATCAGTTGAACACAAGCTCGTAGTGTGCTCTGGTGGCTAAGCAAGCAAATGCAATCCTTCAACATCCAGGCGGGAAAATACAAAACGAGGAGGAAAGAATGGAGCTGCTGCTTTTTCCAGCACAAGTGACGAAGCTTCTGCAGTTCTGAGTTTGTTTCTGTTCTTTGTGCTATAAAAAGGGTGCTGACACATTCTGCCCCTTCGGCAGCAGCTGCGTTTGTCTACCGCATAGCTGTAGAAGCGGCTTCCCTCCAGGACACACCGTGCGTGCTGTGGCCACGGCTTCAGTCTGGGCTGCAGAGCTCTAGACGACCCTGTAGCAGAGCTCAGTAGGCAAGGCTTGCGTTTGCACCACTGCATGTGTATTTAGATTTTCCTGCTGCTATTTCATCTCCTCTTCCCAACCCAATTAAAAATCTGGCTGCTGCCTTGCTATCAAATGCTAACACAAACACCTGTGTGCCAGATGTGTACAACTGTAAGTCCCTCAGTGCTGATCCATCACCAGAGCCATAAGCCAATCCATGGAGCAATTAGAAAACACTTCTTGTTTTCCCCCTTCTTCTATCCCTCCTCCCCATTTTTAATCCTCCTGTTTTTCCAGGCTTTTCTCTCTCCTGCATCCTGCTGCTGCAAGTTTGTAAGGTGAGCCTTGCTCAGACGTTCTGTCTCTTTCAGATAAGAAAACAGAGAGCCTAAACTGAAGGAGCACATTTTTCTGGCTGCACAGAGGCTGCTTTATACTGACAAATGTTAAATTGTAAAAGTCCAAATGTCAGTAGTATCTACCAGCTCAAGAAAAACACCTTGAAAACAGTAATGTTGGGAGGGCTACAGCAGACAGGATTAAGGTTTGATTTTTCCTGCCCGTCCCCCCCCGGCTCTCTGAAAAGAACTGGTCCCCGAGATGTGTTCTGGGGACCTGACCGTAGGATGGGGAGCACTCTCATGGCTCAAGTCAGCAGCAGAAAGCAGTTCGTCAGGTTTGGGGGACAAAAATTAATAGGTAAAGTGGTGGGATGTGATGAGACTGCAGAGGTTTTGACTGCCGTTGGTAGGACAGTCTCTTTACAAGGGCTTGCTGGAGGTGGGCTGGTGTAACAGGTCTCTTTCTTACTGCGCTCTGCTCTCCTCATTGCCTCTCTCCTTTTGCCCAAGTTCCCTGCTCAGAGCTCTCCGCTTCAGGATTGCCTCCTCTCTCCTCTCCCCGCTGTGTGGTAGCAGGGCCTGTGGGGGGCTGTTTCTGCTGGGGAAAGAGGGGGACGAGAGGGAATATGTTCTCCTTTTCTAGCAGAGGAGATGAGCCAGTTCCATTTGCTGAGCTGGGAGCAGTACCGGACGGCTGCGTGAAGAAGCCGTGTGGGGCGAGGGCAGCCCGCTGACAGAGGGGGGACGGCCGTGCGGCCTTGCCCCGAGAAGGTGCCTGCTGCTGTGTGCAGAGCAACAGAAAAAGGGAGCTCACCTCCCTGCCCCGTGGCCTTGGCTCTTGGGCAACTTTGGCTTTTACTTACCAAACGCTGCTTGTGCCGGCAGAGACCCTGCCACCTTGGGTAATTCAGATGATTCGGTCTTTACTTAGCAAAGCTGAGTGATTGTTATCCAGGGGTCCCCAGCTCAGTCTGATGGTACAGTGCTACTAACTTACAGTCATCGTGTGTATCCCGTCACGCTTCTTTGAGGAAAGCCTCCCATTGACTTCAGTTTGTTTGAACATACTTTTGCCTTAATGGAAGTGGTGCCATTGTCACAGTGAGGAGCTGTTTTTCGGCTGCTGGGGCTCTGGAGTGCTGAAAACAGCAAATCTCTGAAATGTAGCCTAGAAGATGATAGGGTACGTTTAAGTGAGGGTGCAGAGTCACTTGGAAAATAGCCCAAGTGCCTCTGGATAGTGACTTTCTTGGGCTGGAAAGCTCACCCTCAAGAGAGAAAGGAAAACAGAGGAGATTTCCCAACTCCCCACCCCCCCATCCCCCCCAACCAGAGACCAACCGTGGACTAACAGGATTGTGTTTATAGCAGAGATGTTTGCACGGTCATGGAAAAACATGTGTTTTTTATCAAGGTTAAGGCTTCCCTGTTGCTAATGTTTCTTAATTAGTTCTTTTGCTCCCTGCCTGCGGAGAGTGAGAGTCTGGAAAACACACTTCTTCCTAGGCAGAACTTTGATCATTGCTTTCCCTTCCTTCTCCCCTCACCTTGTGAGATGGATTACTTACCAGCAGTCATTGCTGCCTGGGCCCTTTTGGAAGCAAAAGAACTCCATGAGTCTTCTGTGAGCATCTTCAAGTGGAATCTGACCTCTGTGATTTAGTTAGTATTGACTGCTTTGTTCTTCCCTGAAGAGCAATGAATAATATTGGTGTTGAAGAATGCAATTCGATAAGAAGGTCTTGAGATCCATTGTATCGTTGAGTTTTCTCTGAGGTAGAATAATGACAGAGGGTTACAACATCTAACTTGTGTAGGCTGTAGTTGATGAAATCAAATACAGTTATGCACAAAATCTTAGAGAGTATGTCCTATAGTAGTGTCTGCCCACTATATGTTTATGAAAAAAGCAGTATGCATATGAGGCGTTTGTATACGAATCTATGGTCAGCTAGGTTCCGTGTAACGTATAAATGTGCAAATTGCTCATCCTATTTCTTGCCCGCCTCTCCGTCCATGAGTTGAGCTCTGCCTGCCTTTATCAGGTGTCCTTGTGAGCTCGTGTAAATGTATGTGTGAAACACTGCGCTTCGTGCTGAAAGCGGTTGTTCGCCGCCTCTGTGGAGGAAGATGGGCACCAAGCTGGGTAGCAGGAAGGGAGGGATTATGCTCTGTAGTCTGCTTTCTTAGTGATGGAGTTAAAATGTCACGAACACTATCCCCCAAGGTACAGGTTTAGGAAGGGAGATGAAAGAGAGGAGGATGCTGCTTTGTTACCTTACAGGGTCATACAGCGGTGCCCTTCTCCTCCAGGAGGTCAGGACTGTGTTTGCCCTGGTACGGGCATCTGTGTGCGTCCGTGTTTCTTAACTAGCGCCTGGTCGCTGGGTATGTTTTCACTGGGTAAAGCAAGAGTTCCTCGGCGTACCTGTCTGATGGGTCTTCAGAAACCAAAACTTCCTTCCCTTTTCTGTCTCTCCCATGTGGGTTTTTAGCACAGGACCAAAGATGAGGGTTTAATTACTAGTTGGTTACAGTGGAGAAGATAAACAAGTAAACATAGCTGGAACTGGTGTTAACTTGAGCTTGAAAACTCAAAGGCAATGTGGAAGGGCTCCTTGCAACTAAGCTCAGCGTGCACTCTGCTTAGTTCACTGCTTGCCTTGTGCATTTATGCTATCGTCTGTGTTGTGACGGATCTCCTGAAGCTTTCAGACCTCTTACATGCCTTCATTTGTTTATTATGGGAATAGGAGTTTATAGTAATGCTGTTTATACTAAAGATGGGTGAACCATTACAGCAATAAGAGAAACCATCATGAACCTTTGCCCTGAACTCAAACCAAACTATTTTGTGATTTTTGAAGTTCTGTTTCAGTTTTCAGCGTCACTGTACTTTGTTCTGTCAGGACTGGAAATGAATGCCAAAATATAAATGGTATTTCCAGTGTCGACCTCAGATTTTTACAAGCAACTCAGCTCTCATGCCAGCGAGTGTGGAGTTTCTTAGACCTCACAAGTTTCGGTAGTGAGTATAACCTTTCCAACTCCCCTGCTTAGTGCACCTAGCTCAAAGCGCTTATCCGCTGAGGCTTTCCCATCACCGTTTCATACCGGACAAGATACTGTCATATGCCTATGGGAGAAGATGCTGTTTATGGAACTAATAAACATTCCTGGGGGAACGTGTGCAGCTGATAGCTTGCAGATGAAATGCTGAAACAGAAAGTGCTGCCTGGCTGCCTTTCCCTGCCCTTCAAGCAAGGCCGTAGTGAGTGTCCCCTTTGACCTCTGTTCTGCTAAATGTGTTGCAAGCCTGTCAGCCGATTCTTCTGTGAAACTATAGTGGAGCTGCCCAGTGCAGAACACGAAAGTAAACTCTCTTTTAGGCTCTATCAGTTTTGTTTTGAGAACAAAATTTGACTAATGTGTTTCTGGAACCTGAGTTTCTCCAAATTTATTTGCTGCCCTGTAGGCTTCTTGGTTTCATATTCCAGACGTGGATCCAGTGTTGAGCTATCGATCGAGCAAGAGTCTGATAGATTAGTAGGGCCAGTCTTGGGAGTAATTGATTCAGGCTGTGCCTGTTTTCCTCCTTTCTGCTCCTGAGGAGGAACAGTCTTCCCTCTTCTCTCCCCTCCCTCCTTCCCTCTGTTTATTGTTGTATCAGAGAATGATCTGATGTTTGTTTTAACACTGAGATGAAGCTCAATTCACTGCTGTCCAGCACTCTTTAAAGCTGGTGTGCTACTTGAATATTTATGTCATGCTGACATGTGCTTACTTTAAAGAAGGCTTTATTTCCTTGGAATATTTATCATAGTATCCAGGAATTTCCATGCTGAACTGCGGCTGGATCTGAATGTTGTGTATAATTACCTGGGTTCCAGCCCCGTTGCCTAAGGGAAGTTAACTTTCAAAGAACAACAGCTAGCTCTGTGGCACTAGCTAGCTGGAGGAAGGAGCTGTCAAGGATTTTTTCCTAGACGGACGTGGAGCGGCCCGGAGAGAAGACCTGCACCTCACTTCAGCTATATAGGTAGCTTTGTCTAGCTCATTGCGGGAAAAGTAGAGTCCTTTCCCTGCAAACCTGGCATCATGGATGGGGTGCCTATATCTGATGTGATCTCTTGACCCAGTTATGGTCTGGGATGGAAAATAAGATTTGACATCTTGTGCATCCTGTTTTTTCCCCCTGATTTCCACCGGTCCCCTTGCCGAGGGCTGAGGGGGGAGGGTTGGTGCAGAATCCAGTTTCTGCCTTTCTGGCACACTTTGATGCTCTGACCCCCTTTGTGCACAGAATAGAAATGACCAGCTTGAGGCTCGATCAGATCGCAGCCTCCTGTTGTTTCCCATCAGCTCGTATGACTCTCTTGGGCTGCTGGGGCTGGAACTGTGCTTTTGCTGCTGTGCATAAAGAGGCACCGTGATTTATGAATCAATTAATCACTGCGTGCTGAGGAACTGTTCATGGTAGTTAAACAGTGAAAATAAAATGCTTGACTATATAATAAAGACGGATCATAATGAATATGACCCTCTACCAATGAATTCTCTCCCTTCCTATATTGTACCCCCTACCCATTCTTTCTGAGCACAGCCAAACTATCGAGATGTGAAATTTGTCTATCTTGGATGGCATGGGGTTCATCAAATTACTTGATAAGGGTGGTGTCTATTTGTGTGTCTTCCCCCCACAACCTCTTCCAGTCTGATTTCAGTTTGCTGCTAAAGCTGATAAACCCACAAAGACAAAGGCAGCGGGAGGAAGATTCTGATACTACTGATTGTGAATTTTTTTGAGTAGTCATAAGAAAATCCACCAATAAGTCTCTAAAACTTGAGGGGAAGGTGAAGTCTGCCTTGCCTGGTCTGTAAAACCACAAACATGTGGTGTAAAATTGTCAAGAAATATTTCCATCACATAACTGTCACTGTTTGCTCTGCGTAACACAGACGTCATTGCTGTGCGTTTCTAAAACTGCATGATACCGTAAGAACTAGGCGAGTTTGGGGAGAAGCCCCTGCTAAGACTGCTGCTTGGCTTCACAACTTACTGAAGCACTTTGCAATTTAGGCTCACGTTCGATGCCTGTAGTCAGGTCCGGGTGGCGTATTGCTCTGTGGAGAGCACCACTGACATTCAAAGCCCACCCATGAGGTAAGGATGTGAGGCAAGAGGCTTTGAACCTGATCGTGTGGTTTTGCACCAAAACTGTGTTTTCCAGGAAGAAAATTATTCTCTACAAATTCTTGACCCTATACTTGTTCTATTTTCTAAATAAAATTATTGTTTTATTTTCCATTATCAGCAGATATCCAAAATAGTGGTAGAACGTTTCATTAACAGAAAAGTGTGGTGTTTTTTGTTTGTGTGTTTGGTTTTTTTTTTTTTTTTCCTGGCTGAAAAGTGTATTCTTGGTAAATGAAATGCTGAAAAGCTCTTGACTTTATCAAATACCCATCCGTTTTGAATTCTGAAAAGGATTTTGGGAGAGTGATAGTACTTCTGTTTTTTTCTTATTTTTTTTTTCTTCTTTACAGGCAGACTTTGAAATTTTACATTTTTGTTGCAGAGTATTCCCTGAATTTTCTGAGTACCTAAAGCTGGCATTGATGAGTAGATAGACTTGTGAACCTAGCTACAAGCCCACTGGTTTTAGCAGAGTGGCTCTTGATCTCACCTGTGTAACTAAGAGTAGATTTCATTCAAGCCAGAAATTACGTGCAGTGGTGTGAAGCAGGTTAATTCATTCTCTCTGCCGTGCGTTGAAGCTTGCAGTGGAATTATAATATTTTCCGCTTATCAGTAAAAGTAAAAGAACTTTTTCTTTCCAACACAATCTAGTTTTTAATTTTTGTTCAGCTCTGCTGCTGGCATATGTTGACTGTATCTAATGGCCTTTGTTTGTTTGCATTCTAAGCTTATCTCATAAATTGGCTTTTGAAATGCACAGTCAGCAGTAATAATATTTCACTGTGGTGACCATAGTTAAATGTTTCTCTCCCGTCCCCCCCCTCCCTTCTCTGATTTTTAGGACCCGGGTTTCTCGTCGGTGATTCATGACAAGCTCCAGGTTCCCAATACCATTCGTAAGGCATGGAACGAGAAGGACAACAGATGTGACGTTTGTGCCACACACCTGAACCAGCTGAAGCAAGAGGCCATTCAGATGGTGCTGACCTTAGAGCAAGCTGCCAACTCGGAACATTACGATGCCTCGCCAGGCTCTCCCCCACCGCTCTCCAATATCCCCACGTTAGTCAGTCCCCGGCACATGGGCAGCCTGCAGCCCAGGGACTGGGCGTACATGCCTGCTCCTTATGCTACATCAAATTATACGGGCTTTGTTGCCAACAAACACGGTGGAAAACCCAACAGTCTAGGAATTGTCAATGGGGTGGAGAAGAAAAATGGCTCTCCTGGACACCAAGCCAAGGTCAGCTTTCAAATGGCCACCAGCCCCAGCAACGGTAATGTTCTCAACTCCGTGGCTATCCAGGCTCATCAGTACCTTGACGGCACCTGGTCTTTGTCAAGAACGAATGGTGTCACACTATATCCCTACCAAGTAAGTGTCTTAAAATAACAAAACATGTTTGTTTTCTTCCCATTGAAGCTTGCGTGGGTGTGCTAACACTGCTTGGTCCTGTCGGGTAGGAGTAGAACCGTTCATATAGTGAGCACCAGAACAAGGAGAGCTATAAATTCCTGTTTCCCTGATAGGGGATTGAGTTGGAGGAGACACAGATCACAACCAGTATTAATTAGAACACCTTTTATTAATTCAGCTGTTTATTAATAATAGAACCAACCTGTTGTTTCTAATAGCAGATAACAATTCATACAGTTTATGCAATTATTCCCTCACACAGTTTTCACTCACTCATGCTCTTAATACTTGGTGGGAGCAACGGCTGGGAGCCAGCCACGTGTGCTTACTCACAGGTGGAAAGCGGCACTAGTGCACCAGTGACTTCTGGGTTGGTGTTCAGGAAGTACCCAGAAGGTCCTTTGGTTCATCATGTCTGCCTACGATCCTATAGTCTTTGTCTATATATAGCAGGCACTACCTTCATTGATGTGTCCTGCGTTACAATCTCATTGATGCTGGTGTGTGCTGGTGGCCTTCTGGAGATTCAGCTGATTCTTGGTGTTTTGGTTTTTCATCAGTTCTTATGGATTCAACAGATTCACTAGTCTCCAGAGCTTAGTGGTCCTGGGGAGACTTTCATGTACTCCTCAGCACGTTCTTTTCCTCCTCTTTGGCCTGCCGTTTTCCAGTGCGCCACACCCATAGGTACCCGTAGGACCCACCCACAGGAGCTGGCACAGAAGGGGCTTTTACAACAGGCGGTAGGCTTCCCGATGCACGGAGCTGTGGGTGCTGGGATTTTCAGAGTGCCCAAGCACTTGCAGATTGCGACATAAGCCTGTTCTTTCTGAGTTCTCCCAGCCATCCCTGTTGGCTTCCTTAAGCATGTAAACATCTTTGGAAGCTGGTCTTTCTACTAAGTTATGAACAGATTGCAAGATAGATCCCTAAATTAATATTAAACACTTATCAGTATCAGTAACTGATATTGCAACTAGAAAAAACCGATGTTATTGATAAGCATTAAGATATTGTAACGCACCAAAGGCAACTTGGTAAAACCAGAAGTGAACTACAGTTATTTTATCTGGAAAATATGTGACTTTATAGTTTTGTGGATTTATGCTCTAGTGAACCTGAATCACATTTGGGCAGGTCAGTATGTGATCATAGTTTGATCTAAGAAAAGAAAAATAAAAATCTGATCTAAGTTTGACCTAAGGAAAAAAACTAAACAAAGATGACAGATTAAGAAAACGGAATCATTATTATTTGTATTAGGAAAATCAGTTCAGTTTTATTACAGTTACAATCTTTTAGGTTCCTCTTCTATGAAAATGTGGTTTTTGTTTACTTTTTAATAATGTTCATGGTTCCTAGATTGTTCATTTTGTCTTAAAAATATTCACTAAGGAGACTCTAATACTCAGAACTTTTCAGACTGATCCTGTAGTTTGGCTCCAGTTAGATCAAGGACTGTTCTGTAGCATTTTCCTCTCCTTTCAATAACCTTGAAATAGAAAATATTGCACTGCCCCTC